TATCTTCTTTGTCGTATTCTCCATCCGTTTGATTCTTGGCATTTTTTCATTTACCGGAATATATACAGTATATATCCATACTTATTCATTTATTTTTTTATTTATCTGACAGTTATACCAACAAAGGGGGAAGAAAGACAGAGAGGAGAAACAAACGAGTAGATAAGATGATTGCCATATATGATACGATTCATTGCATTCATTGTTATGTAATTGTAACTTTTTCTGGATGGTACTGTTTAGAATAATTCGTCTTTTCAAGTTTTAGAAAAATCTGTTAAACAAATAATTTCATACGATGTATTGCCAACCTCAACATTACTGCAACAATAATACAAATTTTCATCATTTTATCTGATGTCGTCGCTGTTTTTTTTAGTTGATCGGACAATTAGCATCGTTTTTCCGTTTCTGCCGAAAAGTCCTGGTCCGTCTAAGTAAATCTTTTTTGTTTTAAAGAAGCTTTCTAGTCACTACCTTTGCAGTTTAATAAATTCTCTGTGTGGCATACTCATTTATAGTAAATTAAACATCAAATATGAATTACGAATCGAAGAATAAGGATAGCGGTGATTACTTTGTAGGCCTGCTGGTGTTTTATTTGCTGAATCTCTATTAAACGGAGTCGTTGGCGCGCAGAAATCACCTTACCGAAGAACTATAATTAATAGAAAAAAATTCAGTATTTGCTGAAATTTGTAAGCGCAATATTTAGCAACTGAAAGCACTACGGTTACAGATGTATGATCATACTTCTTGATTAAGCGATTTCGTTGTTGCTCGTCATCATAGTTTTTTGTTGGTTCTGTGCCTGTGAGCTTAAAATGGTCTTGTCTAAAAGATAAAATAGCGGATTTTGCAGGATGAGGAAAGAAGAAAAAAAAAGTAATTTCCACACATTGTTTCAAAGATAGGAAAGATTAATTGTCAAATCCTTTGTTAATTAAAAACTGAGTTTATTTTCTAAAGTAGGGTTTTTGGTGTATTATTTTTCGTACTAAGCCGTCTGTGATCTGTTGTGTTCGCTCGTTGGCTTTATATGTTTGAAACGTTTTTTTGTGATGATAGTTTACATCTAAGATATAATATTTAAAATAAATAAACGATAACCCACGGATTAATTCTGTTCATTTTTGCTGCTCTTAATTACAGTGAAGATAAGCAAAGCAGAACAAATAGGTATAAGACGAAAGATTAGATAAGGGGAGCCGTAGTGTTGTGGTCGGCTAAAGAACTGGGTGATGACTGTTCCATTCGCGAAATTAGCGATAGGTTTCAAGTTGAAGCCATAAATTATAACATATTTCGTATTCTTTTAAACATTACTAAATGTTTGTGGTTTCTGTTAAAATTGTAACACTTTCGGAAGCAAAAACTCTTCTCTCGTCTTCTTATTTGGGTGCTGAAGAAACAGTAGCAGTAAAATTGGTTTTATTGCAGAATTGCCCTATTTCCATGACGGTTTTTCAAGTTGCTTTTGCAGTTCAAAGGGTACAAAAAACAGGCCATTATTCATATGAATTTATTAATTTGTAAAGTGTTGATGCTGCTGTTTTTTCCTTTCAATTACACTTCCTGTTCAACTGTATTGTAGGAGTTAAGAAGTACTTTGATTGACTGAAACTATTGTTCGCTTTTTTTAAATTTTGGACTCGAATGTATAGTTTACGTTTTGTATCTAAATTATCTGCCTTTTTTTCTTAATTATTTTTGTTCGAATCTTTTTGCTAAATCCTCCTAAGTAAATTTCAAGTTGGTTTCAAGTAACAAGTGCTAGAATTGGAAACCTTGAATAATTGTTTGATTGAACTTGGTGTACTTTACTCTAGCTTTTTTTTTTGAACTATTCATTTCTTTGTTTTTCTTTATTTCAAAGCCGGCAAATAAAGAGGGACAGTGTTTCATTTTTTCTTTGGTCAATATGTGGAACTCTGATTGTTTTTAATGAAATGTAAATTTTTTCAAAAACAAATTATGCTACTTGTTAAGCGGATGATTTAAGTTGCACAAACAGCATTTTAGGATAGAAAAAGAAAACAACAGATGAAATATTAATAGTGTTATAAATATCTGTGTTATGTGTAGTTTTTGAACCCTAAAAAAATTGTCTAGAGTTTCTGCTTAATTTAAATCAGTACAACTTCGGTGTGCAGTAGAGCGTTCATCAAATTTTTTACTCTTATTTTTAATGTAGTTTTTAGTGTTGTTTAATTTTGTCAGAAATTAATTTTTGACAAAGATAAGGTTGGAATGTGCGATATGGTAAAAAGTCTTTTCCCATCAAAATTTTTTTTTGGATGAGAAATTTGGTGAATCGACAAACTCGCTGAAGCTGTTTATTTTAAGATTCTTTCTCCTACCTCTTTGCTTAGCTAAATGACAGCTGAATTTATTTTTCCGGTAAGTAGTTTAAACTTTTATTTGGAAAAGTAAAGAAAGAGCAGAAAAAAAGAAGAAAAAGAGACTAAGTAGCAGTATCGGATATGAATGAAAAATATCCTGAGAATTTTCAAATAAGCAGGTCTATTTTTTCTCTTCTTTTGTGGTGTAATTTTCAAGACTTCCTCTTTGAAGACTAGTCTTTTGTCGTGGGGATAAATCTGTGGGCATCTATTCAACAATTTTTTTTTTTTAGCAGATGACGCTTTGAACTCGCATTTCTTTTCTGTTATTTATTTATTTCTTGCCTATTTAATTTGATGAAATAACTTTTGAAAACATTGTCTGACACGATACCAATACTGATGGGAAGATTTGAGAATTACTCGTCATGCAATGAAACTATTGCTGGAAAAATCAAACAGAATTCTTATTATGCGCAACTTTTTGACAAACTTCAGATTAATGTTGACAGGACAGTAGGGCGTTCGTCAACGTTTGAACATTTGACGCGCATATTTTTTTCTTGATCTTAAAGATTTTTTAAGGTGAAGAACTGAAAAAGATTTACACCACTCTAAGATTTGGTCATTGAAATGAAGCTTGTTACCGTTTCTTTTTTTTTTTATTTCTTAAACTAAGTTTCTTTTTATTGCTAGTATAAAGCATTAATCTAACTGTTACCAAAAGAAAAAGTTTTGTTTTGAGGGTCATGTCAAAATAAAATAATTATTGTTTGTCTGGAGCAATGAACAGATTGATAGAAACATAAACATAGGAAGACTTGTGAGCAGAAATTGACATCGTAAAAATGCTGTCTTTGATTTTCTTTGCTTTCCTTTATCTTCTCTTAAGGAGTGTATAATTGAATAAAATACTTTTTTCACTAGCAGATATATCAGTATAGGCAAAAATAAAGAGACGGAACATGCTTTAAATTCTATTAGATTGAAATTAAATAAGAAATTACTTGATTTTTCAGTATTTTTCGTTCAAGGAAAAAAATTTTTGTTTTTGGAAACTGAATCTGTTACAAGATGTATTGCTGCTGCTGCTGTCGCTGATGTTGTTTGTTGTCGTTGTTGTTACTTGTTCAATGGTGAATCAGAAGTGATTCAGTTCAGTCTAAACTACGTTTAAGTATTTAGATATGCTACCCGCCGGAACTTCGAGTCATCCGGCGATGCTTTTGGTTGACGCAATTACTTCTGCATTTGCTATGAACAAACCAATAATGTTTCTTGACCTTTTGCATATATTATAACTACTGGCTAGATTGTCTTCGGAAATGTTTTTTTATCAGTATTATGCTTATACATGTATATTTTTTCTTTAATGAAAGAGGATTTTATGGGCATAGTGCCGTTGCTATATCTCTGGTTGTTTTTGAAGAGAATTATCTGGGTGAGGATGTTTAGTGAAAAAGGCTGAAGAGCAGAATAGATATCGAGGGCGAGGAGAGGAGAACAGAAGGCAGTAGAGGGTATAATTTGTAATTTTGAAAACAGGGATTTACTTTTAAACTTTTTCATGCAAGTGGGCAAAAAAAAAAAGAAAAAAAAAACGTGGGAGGCTTTTTTTTGACACTTTTAAATTTCATGTAACTGCAAAACCTAATTGAAAAAATTTTTCACTGAAATCCATAGGTTTTTCATTTCTCTTGCTCTACCAAAATGCAACAATCATTGGAATATCTCGTGGTCCACAAGGAAAGAAGAAAAGAAATGCATAACAGAAATTAAAATTGACAGTTTTGGTATCAGAAGAAAGCATAAATTGGGAAGGAAAAATAAAGGAAGTGTATTCGTGATTTGTCTATTTTTTTTAGCTTTTAAATAATCGCTTGTATAGTGGTTGCTACTGCTATCATTGATGCTTAAATGATTTTACCTACTTTTTTAAACGCTGCTTTAATGTTTTGTAATGCAAATTTTTTTACACCGTTTACGTTCTCCTTCTATACAACAAAATTCTTTCTGGTCAAATTTAGCTGAAATATTTTTGGGTTTTTTTTTTTCTATTTACATCTCATTTATTCAGTACGGAGGGAAAAAAAAGCTGTAGTTATTTTTACTTTTTGTAATACAGAAGCTTGGAAAAGCAACTTTTTTTGGTGCTCTGATAAGATGAAAAATAATGATGCTAATCAAATGTCAAAAAGAAAAAAAAAATGAACGAGATAGAGAAATGTTTTTCTGCATGTATTTTGTAGTTCCATGATCATAGTTTTCGATTTTGGTACCACAATCAAAAAAAAATGTTGACTTCTGCATTGTCTTCCACGTTTAGCACTCGTTATTATACATATCTGTGCGTAATTGTGATCAATTCTGTTATTTTTGAAACTGCTCGGTTTGCC